GCGCTCCCCAAACCCAACCCCCTCCGCCCCCCGCCGCCAAAAATCGTCGGTAACCGGCAGCCGCGCCTCCTGTTTGGGAACCAAACGGGCCTTTTTATTTTTACTGTGCCGCAAGCCAGAAATTGGGTTTCTCCCGAGTTTTTTTTTTCCAGTCGCGCACCTCCTTGGGTGACGAGACCCGTTGCAGTTTCGCTGCACGGACATCGGCCGTGGCAGAAAAGGCGCTGGATCTCGTTACGTAGCACCGACTAATTCTGGTTTTATTGCTCGGCGTTAGCCGGCTCGTCCCAAGGCGGTGACCGGTAGCCGGACGCCTCCCTGGAATACCTCTAGCAGCGGAGAAAAACGACTCGCTCGTGCGTTTTTGTTGTTTATATATCCAGCCAGCTGTGTTAATATGAAATTTCCGCCGCTCGGATCCCGCCCCGGATGAAGACGGGACGTTCACCTGGCAAAGCAAACCCGGGGCTCGTCCCCCAGGCCCTTCTCTGCTGCTCCAGCAAACGGGCGTCATTCAGCGCTCTCAAACGAGCCGCTCTCTTCCCGCACGGCCTTATCCCAGAGGGAGCCCGGGAGGGGCGGATTCCTCAGCCGAACTCACCTTTCCCGAGGCTCCGGGCACGCTGGCTCAGAGCTAGAGGCTTTCCCCGAAGGCGTCGCGCCCTTCGGGTGTTGGGGACCTTTTCTTTAAAGCCGTTTAACCTCGAACGTCAGCCCCCGAAGGCGCCCGGCGTGAGGGGCCCGAAAGCAAATTTCCCCTCTGTAATTAGAGAGGAATCCCGTACGCTGCTGATCGTCGCGGCTCTGTGGAAGGCGGCGGCGTTCAGGGCAGAGCCGGCATCCGGGACCTGCCTTTTCCCTTGACTTCAGGAGCGTGTTGCCCGTGACGCCACTTTTATTCTTCCTCTCACGTGTGGATAATAACTGTTTTTATTTGGGGCTTTATTTATCTCTCCTTCATCATTTGTCGGCCGAAATTGCTCCGGCGGACGCGCCTCTGCTCGTTTAACTTCCTTCTGGCTATTTGAATCTGAGGTCTCCTTCCCAGCCGGTGCCGGCAGGGCCGGTTTTGCCGGGCAGCACGCGGCGCGGGGCTCGGCAATGCCGCCGCTGGCACATCGGTTTGGGTCCTCCTCTCCGGCGCGCTCGCCACCCCGCAGCACTCGAGGGCTTGGAAGAGGAAGGTAAAAGAAGACGCAGTGGTTTGCTGCGAAGCTTCGTGCTACACGACGCGAAGGAGGAGACGTGTTTAGAGCATCGTTGGCGTCATTTAACGGGCAGTGGGTCCGCCTGCTCCCCGTTTCTCACCCCACAAGACGCTCGATTATTTTTAAAACCGGCGATATCTGACTGTCAGCGGTTCCCTCGCCCCTCGCAGGAACACCCCGCTTGACCGCCAAGAGGCGGGCGGTGGCTTTACAGCATCACGTTTCTTACCGAATCGAGCACCGTTGCCTTTTTTTTTTCCTTTACTTTTTCTTTTTTTTTTACCTTCTTTCCCTCCCCCCAGGACTGTTGCACCTTTAAAGCGTCCTGATCCGACAGAGCCACCTGAGCTCAGAGACCAGTGGCCTCTCTACAGACCCGTGTCGGGTTCCCTTCGTCAGCCCTCCTTTCCCGTGAAACCTCGCCGATCAGCGTTAATTATTTCTGCCTTTAATTCTTCAGTGCCAGGCTGCGGTACCGGCCTCTCTGCCGCCTCGCCCGGATCGATGTCGGGTTAAATTACAACGCTTTCTGCTCTGACCTTCCTCTCCGCTCCTTCCCTTCGGCGGCCACGTGGCCGGTGGGTCTCTGCGGGCCCCGTAACGGAGATGCTGCTGCCGGGTTTAACCCCGAGGAGACCCGAAAGCTCGTCCCGTTTTTTTCCCCAGCTTGTTTTCCGACAAAACCCTGTCTTGATTTAAGCCCGGTTAAATCTTGATTTTTAACCCGATTTAAGGTCCAGGGGGTTGGCTAGGATGGGATGGGTGCCGGATATACCCAGAGAGGGGGAGGGTTTAGGGCCAGACGCTGCTGCCGTCCGTCTCCCTCGGTTCCCCGGGCTTCCCTGCCGCGCCGGCGCCCCGCAGGCACGTGGTTTGTGGGTGCCGCGTTATCCATTGGGAAATGAGCCAGAGTGCAAGACGAGGGGGGGGAAAAGCGCCCCTTTATTTCCTTTCCCCCCCCCTCTTACGGCTTCGCCACCCGCTTTGTTAGAAAGCTCAGGACCTCCACGCTTGGGGAGAGGAGCCAGAGGCTTCCCCTGCTGTCGAGACGTGTCGTCTGCCATCTCTGACGGAAAGCACGGGAGGGGAAAGACGTCTGCACCTGATTCCCCGGGATACAGCCGGGAGACGGCAGCAGCGTCGCGAAGGAGCGCGTGTGGAAACACGGGGGGAAAAAGAAAAAAAACAAAAAAAAAACCAGAGGCGGCACGTGGGGGACGTCCTGCCCTCCCAAGCGTTCGAGGTCTTGGTGTGTTCGGTTTGGACCGGCGTCGATGCCGAGCGTCGTGGCAGCGGGGAAGCATATGTCGCAGCCC